CAGTGTTTCTCAACGGGGGCGATATCGCCCCCATGTGGGCGTTTTTCTATGTTGAGGGGGCGATTAGTAACAATTTATATTTGGGGGGCGAAAAACAATTTTCTGGGCGATATAGTAAAACATTATATTACGATTAATTAATTAGTTATTTTATTCGTTATATCGTACAATAATTAAACAAACAACTTCATACTAGTCACTAGTCTATTCGATGCAGTACGAATTTGGCGTTAACCCTGGCCCTCGGTATCGGAATTTTGAAGTGAAGGGGGCGATACTATGTAACGGTTTTATTGAAGGGGGCGATACCACGTTGAAGGGGGCGACGATTCGTTAGAGGTTGAGAAATACTGCTTTATAGTAATCATTCTTAATAAGGATCGATAAAACGGAAAATAAATAAATATGTATCGGATATTAAAAACTTGAAATACATAATTTTTAATTATAAATTAGTTTCATCTTCAGACGAAAACGTAAGAATATGGGCAATAATACATTTTTTCCATTGTTTTCACTTTCTTTGTTGTGAGTGAGCAATTTTCGATTGAGGAATACAATTTCGAGATTTTTGTTTTATTTCTTAAGGATATTTTGCTTCAGATATAAACGTGAGTGATATTTTGACAAACTACACAACATACGGTACAAAAATATATTTATAAAAATAGAATTACCAATCTTTGTCATTAGCTAATCATAAGATTCTAAAACTTAATTGAGAGCGAAAAACGGCATGGTAAGATTGCAGATGTGAATTGGGAACTTAAAAGAGCTGTAGGGTATGCCCATAACAGCAAAAAATCAAAGCAACCACACCTGTAAATGTGACCATTCGCGAGATATAGCCCCCGAAATCAGACTACTTCCAGGACTTGGGTAATACAACTTCCGAGATAAATTACCGTATCTCGTACTGATTTGGAATAGAATACATTTTATCATGAAACAAAGATGCCCAGAGTTAATAATAATGAACATGAGTTAAATCTTTGTCAAGAATACAATTGATTTAATGATTTTATATCGCGTGATAGAAGCACGTGCGTTTATATAGACAAATCACGAGCGAGTCTCAACACTAAAATAGGACCATTATCGAGGAATTCAGCTCTCAAAAAAGTTTATTTAATTATTATTTTTTCATAATAAAAACAATTAATCATTTAGCAGTATTTCCTAAATTAAATTGACAAATGAATAACAAATCTGTAGTAAATTTAAAAATAAATTATTTTTTATATCCATAGATTACTAGATGCTTTTGAAAACACTTTTAGCTATTGAAATTTAATAATTCTTGTACCAATAAGTTTCAATTTTCATAATTAATACTTTGTCATTCAATCCTGCTGATCCTTAATTAAAATACCAACACTAAGCAGGCACACACAAACAGTAACAAAAAAAACTTTATTAAAATAAGATCAGAGCTGTCGTCTACATCCTCAGGCTACATCAGGGCAACTTAACGAACTTTCTCGCCTTTTTTTCTTTTTATTCCAGCTTCCAGGCAATAACTCGGTTTTAAATGTTGCCAGACCGTATTCACGATGTCTGGCGCTGGCGGCCACAGCTACTCCCCCACCAGTGTCTGCGACACGAAACGAACGGGAAAAGATAAATGTCAGCCAGAGCGTGTGGTAGTTTGTCGGGTTGGGGTTGGCATTGGAGACGTTGGGGAAACGTTGACAACACGGTTTTATTCGATCGATGGAAACTACAGTCTCTTCCTTTTGTGTATAGCGTGAATGTCTTGCCACCACGTGACACGACTTCTTAGGACTTCTTACGATGGATAGGGTCCATCGTATGGAGGCTGTAAAGGCTTCCGTACAGCATCATTGAGGAGAAATACGTGGGAACATGACTGCAGTTCTTTGTGGATAAATGGGTTGCGATAGGAGTGGTGCACCACAAGCACTGGTTTTAAGTTTGCCACCATCGTCCTGAGTTTTTCGACGAATGAACATAGATTGACGTCCTGAGAACCTGGGACGAAAAATTATCCAGGCAATCTGAGGCTGGTGCCATAGAGCATCTCGACTGCGGTAGTGCTGGTGTCTTCACGAAGCGCAGTTCGCAATCCTAACAAGACTGTAGGTAGTACTTCCGTCCACTTTTCAGTAAAGTGACATTTAATGGCAGTTTTAAGTGAACGATCAAAGCGTTTAACAATGCCATTCGCAATCGGGTGGTATGCTGTATGCTAACTCTTTTGGCACCAAAAAGTTGAGCGAGGGATTTGAATAGGCTAGATACGAATTGTCGCCCTTAGTCAGATGTTATTTGGGCAGGCACTCCACAGCGAGATATCCAACCTGAATATAGGGCTGAAGCCACTGTTTCAGCCGCTATATCTGGCAACGGGATTGCTTCAGGCCAACGAGAAAATCTATCGATGATTGTGAGGCAGTATGTTGAGCCGTTGGAAGGT